AGCCTAATAGCTTCTTGATATACTGTTTAGAAGAGATACGTGGCTGATACACAAATAACAACAGGTACATCTCAAACCAGCTTATGGAAATCAACCCATAAGAAAAAACAACATATGTACGGTAGTGTAGAATATATTATGAAGATAGAATTAAAGCGAGAAATGGTGCAGAAGAACTCAGGAAGATAGCCCAAGGGCAGCCACTCTTAGCCCTTGAATCAGTCATTACATTTAGTTTCATGGATGAGTCTGACTTTTGGGATTGGTGAGAGCTCATAAGGCTATTATGAACAGCTGCTATGCTATTTCTCCAAAAGACAAGATCTTTTAAGATACTCAGTGGACTGGCACCGCTGTGCATGAAAGGTTGTTCTTGTCTTTTTAAAAGTTTCCCTTGCACCTTGAAATGATACAGGCATTAATGAGGGATGCTGAACAAACCGTCAACATTATCTAATTTTTCCCCACCATCGTTAAAGGTTTATAAAGATCATTGACTTTGAATCTTTGAGTCATATCAAATTCCCATAAAAATGAAGCAGAAGGATGTAGAAATGCTAAAGGACCAAGAACAAATTCTTCTCCTATTTCTCCCCAATTTTATTTTTTTCCCCACAACCAATTTTTCTGTCAAAAAGGCTTCCCCCCCCCCCTCCACTTTTGGAGCCTCACCAGGAAAAATTCATCTCATCTAAACCTTATCCATCTGTTCTAATCTTTGCCCACTCCTGCAGTTTATAGGAATCTTATAACAATGCTCAAGTCCTCCAGCATTATTTTTTCTTTGAACTTTAGGACAACATTAAATACCTCATTAAAGAACAAACTCTGTTTCAAATGAGGGTTAAAAAAAATGCAATGCATCTTTTCAATGCCTAGTCCTAAACCTTAGACTGCCCTCAATATAATGATCAGATCCTAACATTTAATACAATCTTGTTTAAAAGTAACAGCAAATTAGTATAAAATCTGTTTCCGACTAGTTACTCAAGTAATCTTGTTAAAATAGCATGCAGTTAATCTAATTTTAACAGCAGAACATATCAAGGATATTCTTGTAACGAATTCAAAGAAGGTTATGATTTTCTGATATTTATGATAAAGTAAATGTTAATACCAATATTAGTAGATGAAATGCCTTAGGGATAACATGTAATATAGACTGAAAACCTAGATTAAGATGATGGCCTAAGAAATGTGAAGGGACCCAAAAAATGAGCAAAAACTACTGAAATCAAATGATCCTTGATTACTGTTGGAAAAGACTTTGGGGTGCCATTTAACTTTTAAAGAGGACAAGCTAACTTCTGTTTAATCAGACGGACTGGGCCCATCTAGATGGAACTTTTGTAGAATTGTATTTATATGTGTGTGTGTATGATCCTTATACTGAATACTAAAGACGTTGATAGTGTGTATCTATTATGTGACCCAGGAAAAAAAATAGATGTCCCTTATAGGACAAATGTAGGAATTCTCCCAGAGATGTTCCTAGCATTCTGTATCTTCTCTCTCTCTTTTTAAATGCAACATTATTCTGCATTTGGTGTCACTGAATTAATCATGCAATTTTGTGTATTCATTTTGGAAATGTGGCATTTTTAATATATCACTGATCTAATATTAGATGTCACAGATCCTTTTACCGTGGACTACAGTAGAATTCAGTTGTGCTAGTTGTAAGGAAACCAATATCATTGCCTAGAATCAAGTATCTGAGATGGGCAGCCATATAAAACTGATTATGTATATATAATAAATTAATCAATAAATAAACAGGTAGTTAGCTAATGTAATGCATCTTTCCATTTCACTGCAAAAATCATTAATGCAGCAATGCAAGACTTATAACAAATTGTATTTATACATTTTTATTCCACATAACCAACCAGTTCTTTTGATTCGTTATCAATGTAATGCAAATAAACCACTTTCATATTGTTTTCATGCTTCTTATTTGTTGCTAACTCACTCTGTAGTAAATACCCTTTTAGTATAGTAAATATACTTTTACAACCAAAGGCAAACATCAATACCACAAGCTCCTTTGTGGCTCTTAATAGTCTTACACTTATTTCAACCGCTTACATAAAATAGTGCATAAATGCCAGCACTTCCCAAATCCAGACATTGACTTCCAAACTTAAATAAAGCTTCATTTCTCCATTGTTCCTTCTTTCATTATGAAGATATAATTATTCTCAAATATGGTATACAAAATGGGGATAAAATCCACTGTGTTTGTTAAAGAAAAGGGAAAATAAATATGACATTCTTTGTGTGATTGTTTGGATTCTGTGAAAGATTTATGTTTGCTCATTTGAGAAGAGATGAGTTGAATAATTCACTATGCCTCTAATAAACACCATTCCTGGGCCAAGGGTGTCACTTAGCTTTTGAAAAAATATGTGTGGAATTACAACAAATCAATCTCAGTTTCATTAAATCAATTTCAATTAATATGATTGTATCTCATTTTATTAACATTCTGTTCTTCCATCATATTAAACACTAGAATCTATCAACAGTTTATAGAGGACTTGGGGATGTGGATACCTCAAGTCATACAATCCTGCTTTATATTTAATGATTAGCAAAGCTGAATAGGAAACCTACCAGTTGCCTATGCACTAATAGAAAGGATTTATTTTTTACATTGTTATTGTATTTTCCTTCAAGCCATTATATAAAGAGAAAGCAATTCTTAGCCAGAAAGGGAGATGGAAAGGAGGACAGGTAAGAGGAAGGAGATGGAGAGAGAGTCCAAGTTTTTGTAAGCAGCTAATTAGATAACTTTTTATTACCGTTTTTGGACTGACATAAACTTTTATTCACTTTTTGCCTCTCTTTTCTGCCTGATTGTTATATTGAGCTTTCATCCCTATTTTTGCCAAGGAGACTGCCTATATATTCAAATTGTGGTGAGTTTATGCATGAAGAGGATGAGGCTTCGCCCTCCCCCCATAACTGATGTGCACTTTCCAAAACGTGTTGAAATCAAGTTTCTTATACGATAGAATGCTACAGATGATGCCATCTATAAAACCACAATAGGAAAATAACATTAAAAATATTTGGCTCTCTCCAGTGTTGGTAATAAGCATAAAAATTGATTGGCCTCCATAGATCTTTCCTCTAAACCTGCTGTGTGAGAATTTCCAGCATTCCTAGCCAAGATGGCCTTGTGTGGGAAAGATGACAAATGCCATTCATTCTATATGACAGTTTGGAGGGCTTCCGAGTGCCATTACAGGATGCAAAACTATTGGGGAATCTAATTCCAATCTTGTAAAAAAAAGAGAAATCCCCAAATGGGTTTTCTTCTCCAGCTTTTAACAGCAATAATACAAAAAATATTTTTGTACAAAGTAGTTTACATACCCATTCACTTCCAGTCGCATACATGTAATCCCCACCTCCCAAATGATGTGTAGTATTTAGAAAAGTACCATACTCAACAGTTCCTGGTGAAAAATATGGCAATTTACATTCTGAGGTACGTTCTTTAGATCAGGGACTTCATGATCCTGGGGAATAGAATAACTGCATTTAAAGTTGTGCTTTCTTGCATTTTTCACCATAACTATCAACTGTGAAAATTGGTACTATATTTTGAGTTCGTCTCCCCCTTTCTTTCTTTTCTCTAAAATTTTCATTGCCAGGTTCAACACACTAAACTTTCAGAAAATTTTGTACCAATATAATTTTTCATTGATGATGTTGGGTGGCTAGATTTGCCTGTCAGCGATTTTAGTTTTCCTCATACTTTATTTTACTATCAGATTCTAGTTCTTCCACCTTTTGTTATTTATGTATTAAAGTTATATAGCTGCTCATCTTGCAAAATGCAGTTCTGGGTGCATTCCCTATTCATTTTTCATTCTCATAATCCTGCCTTTGTGACATCAGAAGAGCAACTCTTTGTGACATCACAATGAAGAGATTACTGTGATTGATGGGATGAGGCAGAGACTTGGGAGACAAAGGGAGAGGAAAATTGTTTCTTATAACATTATTTTTCTGCTTTCACTTTCATAAAGACATTCCTAAAGCAATGAAAGTATTCCTTCTTTAACTAAACTGAAGGCAATATTACAAGACTTTTTTGTGATAAATGCCAAAAGTAGCCCTCTATTAGTTGGAATGAGACAGTTGTCTAAGGTGATAATGCCTGAAAAGGCAGCAAGCCACTGAAGAAGAAAGATGGATGCCCCACTAGCTTTATTTATGTCCTCTAAGGAAAAATCTACTGCTCTAAAAAAAAAAAAAATCCTGAATATTCCTCAAGGTAATTTACAGCTTCTGCACATGATTTGAAAGAGTTTCCTTTTCATCTCAGATAGAAAATAATTTTGGACTAGCAATTCTAGTTTGAATCTTCAAACAATTCAGTATGGGTCTGATTCAGCAATCAACTGCACCTCTATTACAAAGTAAAGTCACTGAATGTAATGGGATTCTGTCCAAAATGTGATTGAGCTCTGAATTTTTTAATTTGATCACTCATGTTGATGAGATCTGCAAAAGGCAAAATGAGTCTTTTAAAATCATTTGCTAAGTATATGAAAGATCTCTGGATCGAATCATGCCATTCATAAACACAGAAATAAAAATGCTGATTATAATTATTAGAGGAAAATGTCTTTGTGGATCATTCCCAAGCAGCCTTGAAAAAAACCTTTTAGAATCCTTAACAGGATTAAAACATCATTGGTTACTTTTCTTGTTCAAGATAATATTCTTACTTTTAAAGTAAAACTACATATGTAAATGATGCATATTTTTTATTTTTAGGAACTAAAAGTTTTGAATTGCATTATTGTGCATCGGATTGTCAACCAATTCTGGGTTTGTAAAAAAAAAAAGAATGGTGTATAAATTTTCAGTTAAAGATGACTGCAATAATTGACTTTCAGATTAATTTTGATTCATCGCTCAGTTTAATGCCAGGGGAAAGTAGCACCTGTTGAAGAATCGTGCAATTGTTCAAAAGCTCTCGAGGGGGACAACCCGAAAAGATAATAGAACCTGGATCCCGAGGTGGCTCTTCCCTTTAATTAGAAAAGCGAGCAAAATAGATTTCGCGATTGAGGAACACGCGGTCTTTTCTTTCTCGTGGATCGGAAGCGGAGGGGGCGAAGAGAGACCTGACCGCCAGTTCTGAGATTAATGGATATCATTGCTCTTGAAAGTGGAGATCGGTGACTGCGCTTCCCCATTGGTAGGCTTTGGTTATGTAAAAGAGGAAGTGGTGAAGTCCCCAAAACATCGCAGCCACAGCAGCAGCGCGCGCACACCCAAAATTTCTACGGGCGGGCGCTTGCAACTTCGGAGCCTCCAGAACAGCTGTCTTTGCGGCGTGCCTGTGTTCGCTGCTGCTGCTACCGCCGCCGCCGCCGCCGCGACTGCTCTCCCTTCTCCAGTGCGCGCTTGGAGCTGCTGGAGAAGTGAGTGGAGGCGGCGCTGTGCATGCTGGGCTCAGATCATGGTTGGGCTTGGCAATAGGAAGCCAGGCAGGAAGGACTCGAACTAGCGTGCGGTGGCGGCGAGCGAAGCAGCGCGAGACAGAGTGCTGCGGGTCGTGTGAGTAGATCGCCTGGCCAGATTGGAGCTGGAGTGAAGGGGGAAGCAAAGTCCCGTAGGCAGAGGCGGGACGGGGCTGTGAGGGAGGCGGAACCGGGGGAGGGGGTCATTTGGAACAGCGCTGTACGCCCCCCCCTCCCCCTTTTGCTGATCTGACTGAAGCAGAAGAAAAAAGAGAGGGGCAGGGAATCCTCGCTTCTTGCAAAGAGAGGCGCCGGTTTGGTTGTCGGTACTGGTGCGTGAAGCAAAGGCGAGACAAGAGGAGCGTATTTCGGCGCCGCCAACACCGCCAGGAACAGCCGCCGCCGCCTCCTCCCCATTGCCGGGAGATGGTGGCATATGAAGCGCGCTGGAAGGACCATGGTTGAAAGGAACAGCAAGTTCCTGCTGATCGTGGCGGGGTCGGTGTGTTTCATGCTCATCCTATACCAATATGTGGGGCCGGGGCTGAGTCTGGGCTCGCCGAGCGGCCGCTCGTACCAGGATGAGCTGGACCTCTTCCCCACTCCGGACCCACACTACGTCAAGAAGTACTACTTCCCAGTGCGGGAGTTGGAGCGCCAGCTGGCCTTCGACATGAAAGGGGACGATGTGATCGTCTTCCTGCACATCCAGAAGACGGGCGGCACCACTTTCGGCCGCCACCTGGTGCAAAACGTGCGCCTCGAGGTCCCCTGCGATTGCCGGCCCGGGCAGAAGAAATGCACCTGCTACCGGCCCAACCGCCGGGAGACTTGGCTCTTCTCGCGTTTCTCCACGGGCTGGAGCTGCGGGCTGCACGCCGACTGGACCGAGCTCACCAACTGCGTGCCCGGCGTCTTGGACAAGCGAGAGAGCGCCGCGGTCAAACCGCCCAGGTGAGACGCGGTGGGGGGGAGGCTAGCTCGCGCAGTGATCTCTGTTTTCGCCACCTCCCTCTTTCGATGTATTATTTATAGTTCTCCCCACCGCCGAACCTCTATGTTTCGTCACTACCACCTTGTTGGGTAGGCTGGAGGGAGCAGTAAAGCTCAAGGTCAGCCAGTGAGTTTCAGGCTTCTCTAAGCCTGTGTGTTGTGTATGTGTATGTATACCTGGAGTTCCCTTTGCTAGTCTGACACTCTGACTACTACCTGTACTTCACAAGTTACCCAGTGCCAGGAGCTTCTTGTTGAATCTCTCCATGTTTGGCAGTTTCCATAGCTGATTTATGCCAACTACTTTGCTCAGCAGGCTGATGGCTGAGAGAAAGATACATACAGTTCATCCATGGCCCAGCTGGCCCCTGACTCTTCAGCCCAAAAGCCTTAGGGTTGCAATTTGATTCACATTTACTGCACTGTTGTGACTCATCTGCTGGCTGCTTTTGTCATCAAGCTCAGAATCAATTGTTGAACTGTTTTGCTACTTACCTAGTTCTCCCCCCCCCCTCTGTGCTTGTGTGTGTGTGTGTGTGTGTGTGTTTGCTCTGCCCTCTGTTTTCAGCATGCAACTTAGTCCTGGGACAGTGTTCAATGCAGTTGGTGCCTGTTTTCTCTCTTCTTGCCCACACACACATTGGGCAAACCCCTCATTCCTTTTCATGTGCTTGGGGGGGGGGGGAGAAAGAGAAAGAGAAGTTGCACTTACGGAATTTCTGTGTCTCATGCAGCTGCTAAGCCTTTGAAAGGAATGAAGGCAGAAAGAATTGTATCAACCCCATATACGTGGCCTGCCTGTCTCTATATTGTGCTCATTGACCCCATAGCTGTCTTTCTTTTCCACTGCCTTCTGCTGGAATTCTCTTTTCCTGCTTCATACACTCTGGAACTGTTTTTCCTCATATACTTTGTAGGATCTCCCTGAGATTTTAACTCATTTTCTTTCTGAGCTTTAGTGTGTACCTCATCAATCTTAACTATAGCGGAGAGGGCTCCTGAGAATGTGTGGAATGTATGTCCTTTACAGTCAGTCTTCATTCACCCAGACTAAGGGGCAGAAGTTCAGGGTCTCATTTTTAAGAGCTTTTAGGGAAAGGAAACGGGTAGCTGAAGGTTTTTTACTTTGGTTGTGAAATGCTACCTCTTGTCCACATCATTTCACACATTTTAACAAATTTATTTGATTTGGGTTTCACTCATACGTACATGAATCTTATTTCTCCAAACCCGGGTCTTTGTCAACCATAAATCTTTCCATTGTTAACCATTGGCAGGGTTAACCCTTCTCATTCTCAGAGCTATCCTTATTTTTCTGCATTACAGCACATATGGAAGAAACACTAAGAATGGTCTCTTGCCAGATTCCTTTGTATCTTTTATAGACTTTTGTTTTGCTTTTTTTGCAATATTGGCTGTCTTTGTACATGTTTTCTGATTATAATAGCCCTTTTCTATTATCCACTCCTATCAAGTTAATGAATGCCATGCCCGATTCATAGAAATGCACAGAATTCTTGTTTGTAATATTTATTTTATACCTGTGCTTTTTAGCCAAGTAAGTTTTCTCTTAGGTTGTCCTGTTGATTTACCCTATATACATGCCTGCTGGATTCTCCCCATGTCTCCATCCCTCACCCCATTTTCCTTTTAGATGGCATTAATCTTCTTAAGCATCCTTTATTCCTGTCCTAGAGACATATCTTTTTCTTGCAATCCCTCGTGCCCACATTAATTCCCCAAACACCTTTCATCTCATTATGGTTTCCTTTTACCTGGATTGCCAAGGTTTTAGGGTCTAGATAAAAAAGCCAGCTAAAGTCAATCTTTTGGAAGCATTCCACCCTGTTATATTGTAGTCACACACAATTCATGCACAAATTGCTTCCATCTACAGTCACTTAAAGGTTTTGTGTGTGTATGTATGCATGTATGCATGTATGTATAGTATCTTTTGGTCAGCCTTGTGAGGTAGTTCAATTTTTCTCTTCCATGTTGGGTTTTATTTAAATCATCTGAAGTGCTTCTATTACCTTACTTTCCTTACTATCTTGGATTCATGTTTAAAGATTCATTGTTTGCTTGGCATCCTACCGTAAGTCATTAATTCCTGCTACTTTATAGAGCCTTAGTCTCAAACACAGCTCCTCTAGTGCCATATGGTTTTATGTTCATATGTGCTATCCATATATTTTGGTCATATCCTCTGTAATCCTTCCAGTGAGTAGGCAGTCTTGGGAAGCAGAACAAAGTATATTTGTCTTATCTCTGCTGCACAGCTCATTTATTTCTCCCCCTTTTCCCCATTTGTTAGACTTGTTCAGCATGGGATGCTGCATGCAGTTATTAATTACTTGTACTGATCCTTCTGTTGTTGCTATCTTTTCAATGCACCTTGGTCAAATTTTGATTAATTGTTCTAATTGCCCTATAATTTGCTTTTATGTAAGCTGACTCAGGAATGTCATATTAAGAAACTTATGCAAAAGGATTCACTTTCTGCAAAGACAAATATATGCAAATACTTGCAAATGATGCTCCTCCCCCCCATCCTCTGTATACATTGCTACTAGATGAAGCATTATAAATTAATAATAGTTACATGTTCTTGGAACTTTTATCTTAACACCCCCCCAAAAAAAACTCTAAACAAACAACTTTGGGTTTGCAAATCATCAGTAGATAAAATAGATTTATAGGCAGATATTGTTGCATGCTTCCCCCATTTAAATATATATTTAAATCCTGTTCTTACATGGCTTTCCTTTCTTGGAACAATAAAAGCTTGGATAGTGAAAAGCCAAGTTGCAGGTTTTGCTGTGGATTGGGGGATAATAGTGCCCACAAATTGTTTGCTTTGCCTGAGTAGGCTTAAGGACTTTGGAGCTGTGTTGTATCTATAATGACATTTACAATATAACTGATTAAATATCTTGTTTTTATAACAACTCTTAGTTTTTCTAAAATCATTTTCTAGGGGTTTAATAATAATAAGCATGCATAAGATTGCTATCCTAATTTAAAGTATTGCCAGATTTATGATTTAGGGTATTGTGTCACAAGTACACATTCAGATACTGAGTTTGGCTTACCCTTTTAACCTTTCTCATGATGTCCTACTTTGAATGAAAAAAGTATTATATTAAAGCATCAATGGCATTATGGAGGTTTAATAATCTTATTGCTCCAAGCCATCCTCAATGAATAAGAATCATCCTTGCCATATCATTAACTCTGAACTGGATAGTGTTTTTGAATATTAAGAATAAACAAGAATTGTTGACTGACTTTGTAATATTGCTGTGTCACATAGGCCCATTGTACTGTAGGTCATTTTAGCTTGTCCACAAAAAGATAACATTTCTCCTGCCTGTAATGAAACCTGGCTTTATAAACAAGAGCTGTTTATATAAAACCACTGATGAAGTAGATTTCCTTTGTAAGGGATTCATTCTTGCATTATTTCCACTACAGTGGTGGCTGTATCACTTCATTTTGCCGCTTTGAATAATGTATCTAGGGTAATGGAACAACCTATGTTTTTATGTCTGGCACACATTATAGAGCCTGCTGGGAGCAGGAAAATTCATTGGGTGATAATCTTTTATTGAAACAGCTTCTACCATTGAAGAATGTACACTATTTGGGATTCCTGGAGCTTTCATCTGGTCAACAGAATTCTGTTGCTGTTGACAATTTTGTTTTAAAGAGCAACGAAACATTGGTCCGGATTCATTTCACTTAAAGAACTCTTTGCTTGCAATCCTTAAGCAAACATATTGGAAAGAAAGGATAGCATGTGGGTGGTTTAGTAGGACAGGATCCCATATATGACTGCTTAAAGGGACATCAATACTTGAGTGTCCTCAAATACAGCTACTGGTCTTACCTTTTTAAATTGAGATATCAGTCTCTTCTGTTTCCTAATTTGCTGTTCAGTAATGTGGAAAAGCTGTATTTCTGGAAAGAAAGGACTCCTGTTTCTTTAAAGCATCTTCTCAGTGTCTTACAGGTATTCTTGAAGGTCATTCACTAGTACTCATAAATGCATAGAAATCATCAGCTGAAAGATTATTAACCCTGGAAGTAATGCCATTTTAGCATTGCTAAGTGCATCCTTATTCTGCATTCTGTGAGCTTCTGTGTACTTTCTGCATCCAGAATGCAATGGCTTTTACAGTTTTCCTACTCCAGGTTGCTAAGAATTATTGTTTCTTTACTCTGCAGTTGTTGTTTTTGAAGAATAATGCTTTGATTTGCTGGAGTGAGATTATTTAAAGCATATTTGGTGTTGTTGTACACCAAAGCTGCAGTAATGAGCATGACAAGTCACAAAATGCTCATTTGCTAGAAATGCAATCCCCATATTGCCTATCATCGCAGATTGGTATGTGTGTGGGAAGGGTCGCTTGTCTTTTTTCTGGCCGCAGAGCATAGAGCAGTGATGGCGAACCTTGTAGAGACCGAATGCCCAAACTGCAACCCAAAAGCCACTTATGCATCATCGCGTGCCAGGTGGGTGTGGCCCATTGGATGGGTGTGGACCATTGAGTGAGTGTGGCTGCGGTGGTAACAGCAGACTGGGTGGGACTAAAAAGTTCAATCAATCAATTCCAACTCTGCAAGATCTTTTTTTTCCCACGAGAAGTTGAAATTGACTGATTGATTGAATCAGCCTCCTAGACCTCAAATATAGTTTACTTTTTCTCAGAGATTTGTATAGCTGACGCCCCACTAACTATAGCTAGAAGATACCTAGCATAAAGATAAATGGGGAGGGGAGATAGGGATTATCCAGTGCTTTGGCTACCATTGTCAAGACCCCATGGGTATGACAGAATTCATTGAAGCTCATATGCACTAAATTACCTAGTTCTCGATTTCATTTGGTCCTTTTTTCCACATAAGAGAGTAACTTATTGAAGTTCAAATCAGACATTGTGTAGAATATCCCCAATTAG